AAAAAAAAAAGAAGAGAAAACGGGGTTTACGTCACTCCAACACAATAGTTAAATCTGCTCGGAGAGTTTTGCATTGCGTAACTCTTTCATCTCTCTCTCTCTCTCTCTCTCTCTTTTTCTTTGTGGGTGTGTGTGTGTGTGTGTGTGTGTCATAAATTACAGAAGTTAAACACAAGACATTCGCAGCGCCTTCGAGGAGGAAAACTGTGTCAGTACTTCGGGACGTTTTCGGTCGTACGGGAAGCGGAATCGCTTCGGCGAAATAGCGTCGCCGGATATAAAATTTGGAGGAATAAACTCGGACTCGGTCCTCTTCTCTTTTTTTATACTTCCCAATTGCTCCCAAACGACAACGGTTGGCGCAAACGGTTTCGCAGCTCGATTTTCTTTCCCTCTCGCTCTCTCTCTCCCCTCCTCTCTCCGGAGACGGGGAAAAAAAAAAGTTTAATATCAACTTTTTACGTCGAGTTTCTTGAATCACGCGCGCTCGTAAAATTTCGCACAAAAAAAAAAAAAAAAGACGTACTAGTTATGACTGCAACGTGCTGCCTTTCACCGATGCTACATTCTTTTCTACTATGTAATTAAAAAGTTTGCGCGCGCGCACTATTGTTCGCGCGAAGATGTAGAAAAGCGCATAATATCTCGCCAACTTTTCGCAAGATCGCGTCGAAGCTGCGTGCTGGTGGCACACAGTTTTTTTTTACACTCGCGTGACAAATTTTTGATCTCGGTTCGAAAAATTTGGGCGAAGAGATGGGCGAACAAATGTTTTTTTTTTTTTTTTTCATTCGGATCCTGCGTGACGGGGATTGTTTTTCTCGCGAAGAAACAACGCGCGAATTATGCGAGTCGGCGCGCGACAAAAATTCCTTCACTTATAAATTCGTTAACTAATAAATGTAAAAAAAAAAAATTGAATAAAATTCCGCTGAAATAAATAGAAAATTAAATTAACGTTATGGGGGTGGAGGGAGTCTTTGTGCGTCTTGTGTGGAAAAATTCAACGAGCCATCAATTTTCCTCGGTGCAACATCGGTTTTCCCGATATTCCCATCGCGACACGTGACTGTTTCGAGAACAAGTGAAAGGTAGAAACACACGCTCGATAAAAAAAAAAAAGTCGAGTCAATTTTACGAGAAGAAGCGCGCGGCAGCACGCGATATACGACAATGGCAATCGGGCAATTTAACTCGTTCCCGCGATCGCTGTAAACTACTACAACGCAATCATCCCCCGCTGACAAGATGTTACAGAGAGAGAGAGAGAGAGAGAGAGAGAGAAAGAGAGAGAGAGAGAAGCGGTCGCGTTTCCCTTCACTCAAGATCCGACGACTTCTTCCCTTTAAAAATCCTTTCAACGCATTTTGATTCTGGAAAAAAGAGCCCGGAGCTGGACTTGATTGATTGCCAGGGTATTGTGCGCGGGCTTCTTCGCGAGTTTGAGTGACACCCGTCGACATTCGCCCGTTGGCGCGCGCGACGTACGCTATAAAAGCAAAAGAGAGAAGATCCCAAAAGCCACGAGAGAGCCTCTGATGGCGCGTTGATGTAATTCCAATTTATGAGTCATAACGTTATGGATGTGTAGCGTAATGGATAGCGCGCTCGGACGTTTAACTGCGTATTACATCTCCATTATGATAATGAGATACGCGCGCGCGCGTGTCCTTTCTCGACTAAATAAAAAAAAAAAATTATTCACCGCGCGATGAATTTTTCTTTTGCGCTCCGAGAAATGTAAATCGTGTAGAGATTCAAATATCACACGATGTAAAATACACCGAAATTTTATTATTCCGCTTGGCGATCGGTTGTTCGGAAAGTTTGTAGAGTTTTTCCAACGAGTCGCGTTTATAAATGGCAACGTGACATCGCGTAGATGTCGGAGAACATCTTTAATGAGCGTTTTTTTTTTAAATAAAATATCTAATAAAATTCTACAGAATCTTTTCGTCATCTCTGGGTCAACATTTGTTTATTGTTTTTATTTATTATAAATAAATTATTTAAGCTTCCTTTAAAAAAAAAAAAACGCTGCGAGAACTCACACGGGAACCGAGCGAAAATTAATTAAATTCGACGCATAAATTTCTAGCAGAATATCTAGCGAGCGGAATAAACTTCTCAAGTGTGATCTCAAAGGCGTCGGAAAGACGTTTTCGACCGGCGCGTCGAGTGACTTCAACTGACCTGTAGCTCCGACGATCAGCCGGTCGATCGCGCCCGCCTCGTAGAGCTCCTGCGGCGCGTAGAAGGCCGACAGTAAGGACCTTTCCCCGGATTTGTGGGCCGACCGCACGTCCACCAGATCGAGGGTTTTCGGGGTCAGAGCGGCGACGAAGAAGAGCCCGGCCGACGCCGCCGAATTCGACAGGGTCGCGTCCGCGCGACTGTCGTAACCGCGGAAGAAGTCCCGCTGTTTCACCCGCAGCTCGTATCTTCGCACACAAAACGAGAAAGTAAGCTGAATGAAAAAAAGAAAAAAACATAAAAAAAAAAAATTGCGCGCGATTTTACATCGGGCGAAAGTTTACATCGTTAGCCCCCCTCTCTCCCTCCGCGAGGGGGTCGCGATGTAACGACTTGTGATGATGTAAATTCACGGTTGCGTCACGGCGCATTGTTTCAATTCGGCGCCGTTTAAGGAACACGCGAATGGATGTAATAAAGCTGTCGATGATACACACAACCGGTGACGCACAAAGCGCCCGGATCGGTCGGGGAGACTCGACACGGAGCGCAGTCATTGTGCGAATCGATTTTGCAAAAGGGCAGAGAGACCGCTGAAAAAAAAATAAAAATAAATAAATAATCGGCGATTTCTCGGCTTTTAATCGCGTTACATAACGCAAATAAATCTCGCACAATAGAAAAGATAATAATAACATAATGGAAGTCGGAATATATGTTGTGATACGTTTGATAATGTTAAGCGGGAAATATTCGCAGTCACGTATTGTTTTTTTTTTTTTTTTTTTTTGTAACACACTATTGTAATACCGTTCCCGGGTTATCTCTCTCTGATCGTTCGCATCGGCAATTGCGAGTGGTTTCTTGCGATGATGCCACAAGAAAATCGTGTCGGACGCTAAATGGAGCCATCAGAACGTAATGTCAGCTCGATTTATCGAAGCGGCGATACCGGCGATTAGAAATCAGAGAGATTTCTCTGTAAAATTAAACTAGGAACGGCCATCGGAGAACATAAATGGTTGACGTACAATGTGGAAAACCAACAAGTACGATCAAATCTATCTTGGCTTAGAATATTGTTTTTGCATATAACCGCTCGCAACAATTAGAATATTTATTTAATCCCGATTACAGAAATTGTTAATTGAAATTTAAAAGGTAATGTGTTTGCTCTTTAAAATGAAAATAAAATTAAACTTGACAATACACAGAAAAAAAATGAAGTTGCTTCAATTAAAGTTGACGTCACGGGCTGCCACAAAAATAAATAGTTCATTCAATTGCATATGCGATTAATTTAAATGTCTAGATTCTTAAAGCAACTATCTGCTGTGTGTATAGTGCAATAATATTGATGTTGCATCAACAGGATATATTTCAATTAAACTGATAACTGTTGATTCAACATCATTTTTTTTTTCCGTGTATCGGAAAAATTGTTGTAGAAAGAAAAAGTAGAAAATTACGGCGTAAAGTTTCTTATAATTGACTGTTATTTTTCTACTATTTCTTGGATTAATTCCACACTCGTAATTTAACACTCGTTACAATGTCAATAACATGTTGTCTTATCTACGAGATCAAAGATTATCACGTTCAATGTTATCTCTCATCCGTTTTTAAAATTCTTGGTTTTAAGAAGAAGAGACAGTCTTGCGAAATATGAATTTTTCTAACGGTCTCATAATTTGTTGTTATTTTTTACGTTTTTATAAATTTTAAAATATGATATGAAGATAATCAAAAGCAAATATACAATTAAAACGTTTCCCTTGATCTTGATGAGATATTTTCTACTTTTTCTCTCCATCCGGTGGCTTTGCCAACTCCTGTTGTTTTATCAATTTTCCATTAGCGATTGTATATATTACAAAAAAAAATGTAAAATTAGATTTAATCGTTACATACTTGTCCAGGGCTTTCTCCCCGAGAATCACCGGCAGAAACTCGTTGTAAGTAATGTGCTGTAGCTCGGCGATAACGATCCTTCTTGCTTCCTGATACAGTCTTTCGTCATCCCAGTGAGGATTCAACCGTTCCAGTTCCGCGGCTACTCGGTTGTGCTCCCGCAAGAATAACACGTGCATCAGAGTGAGACCCGGATTCTCGTTTACTCTCGAGTCGCCGCTGAAGAAGCACGGGAACGCCTTGTTCGCGCTTCTGCAGTTCTCGTACCTCGACGAGGCCATCGGCAAATTCTTTCTCTGCGTGTTCAACAGACCGCCCATGCCCGAACGCAGAGCTCGGGCGGTTTCCTCGGAACTGCCGTAAAGAGGCGACAGATCCAGATAGGACGTCGCCTGGTTGATCTGCTGTCGCGGGCCCAACTTGCAACCCTACGAACGATACAATCTTCAAACAAGATTCGAACGCATTTGATCAACTTGCAACGACGAAATGTTCATCTCTCTTTTCTATTTTTTGTACAAACGACGAGGATTATAATACAAAGTGACTGAACAGGTGAGTTTTAAACTTCCTCCAAGTGCGTTTCACAAGTATACAAAATACGTCATTACGCGCTTTTAAACTTATATTAACGACAATATAATCCTCGTTAGCGTGCGCGCGCATTTCAAAAGACATTGACAGATGTCTGGGGCCGGGATTGGTTGCGCAACACAAAGTGAGTGAGGAAATCACAGATGTTGGCATTTTGTGTGCGCGGCGAGGTTTCTCGAATCCCGCACAAGGGAATTGAAATATTCCACAATTCTTGTACCTGTAACGAGTTTCCTGGATGCGGCGCGGATCTCGAATACTCCATGCAACCGATCGGCTGTTCCGCGCGAATCGGAAAACACTCAGGATGAAAATTCTCGTAGTCGACGTCGCAGCACTTGAGCCGGGCGCCGTCCGGCAATTCCATTCTGGGCGTGTGCGCCAGATCGTGGGCGAGAAACTGGCCGAAGAGCGCGGTTAGCGCCATCAAGTAAGGATGCTTGAGATCCAATCCGCCGGAATGTATCTTCGACGACACCTCTCTGGCGCTCGGCAATTTGATGCGCGGCAACGAGACACCGTCCTCGTAATCGGGCGGCAAAAATCTCACGTAAGCTTCCAACGCCGCGCCCCAAGTTGGATGCAGCGGATTGTTGCAACGACCGGTGTGCGTACGATAGCGCACGTTTGTCTTCTTGCAATCGGACAACAGTCGCAAAAAACTGGGCGAATCGGGACACAGAGCGGTCGCGACCGTCGGCAACACCGAGGTCGCTTGTTCGGACGACATGTTGAGCGCCTTAACGAGCATCATCGCCATCGTTTCGATACGCAGAGCTCGTCTCGACAGATTCTGCGCGCCCTCGGTCATTTCGTGAGACGCGCCGAGAAACCAGGACGGCGAGCCCAGACTCAAATGCGTACGTGAGTTCATGATCGTTCGTTCCGCCTGATTGTATTTCTCCATCGAGAGATTCGTTCGCACGCCCAGATCCTGCAGCATCCTGGGTGGCAAGGTCGTAGCTCCGACGAGTGTTGTCATTATCAGAGCGATGAATCTGAAGATCGGAAATCGAAGATAATATGATAAAACAAGAACGATCCCACACCCGATCCCATTCACGGGGGGGAGGGGGGGCGCGGCCATTAAAGTGCCGCGGTAATAAAACGCCCACCTGATCAAAGCGAGAGAGTTCTCGCGCGTGCGAGACGATAATAACGCACTCCCGCGTCTCGCAAAACCGGCAACCGCTTATTGTTACCCAATAATCGCTATGCAGATTTCATGACTGTGTGTTATTATCTAAAGTAGCAATGACGCGATACAATCAATCACCGAAGATATATGCGCGTCCCACGCGCGGTTGGACAACGACGAGACGAGACGAGACGAGAACACGATTTGCAAATCCAAGTGTCGCGCAAAACGGAACCGAAATTAATGTCAATTGGATTACCTTTGTTAACTGTGTGTTCGCGCACTTTAAAGCCGACCCCTTGTTGTGTGTGTGTGTGTGTGTGCGCATCGATATCCATCGACCCACATTGCAAACGCGAACACGATCCCCGTCCCATTAGCGAAATGTTAAATGCAATCGCGCGCTCGCTATTGTATGTACCGCTCGGATTTCTGCGCGTCCGCGTTTTTTTAAACCACTACTTGAAGACGTGTATCCCGATAAGGATCTTCTTCAAAGTCGTGCACGCGCGAGAAGCAAACGAGAAGAGAATTTGCGCGCAAAACTCCTCACACCACCTATTATACCACCCTCCTGCCCTACGTGTGTGACGCTAGGTTGACATCGAGCGGATTATAAACACGTTTCGTCATTTATCACGCGCGCGTCTCGCGCGATGAACTCGCGAAGAGCGAGAGAGAGAGAGAGCGAGAGAGAGAGACCTTGTCTGCGGGATGGCATTTCGCCTCGCGGGCGCGTTTAACGTTTCATCTCGTTTGCCGCGTTTACCGCAACGAATTCATTCATCAACTCCGAAGAGGCATCCGCCTCGGGGCTGGGATCGAGGGGGGGGGTGGGGGAGAACCGCGTCGGACTTTTTTTTTTTTTTCACGTTGCGACATAAGGTCAGAGCGGGGAGCGAGCGACCTCAACGGGAGGTCGAACGCAAGATTGACATTTAAAGAACCTTCCTGGTTTTCTTTCGCGTCTGCTTTTACGTAATCGTCTTCGTTCCCATGATTAGCGCGCGAATCGGAGATGAAAACAATCGCTCCCTCGGCTCCTCGGATCGATTATCTCGGATCGATAACCGGTTAATCTCCTTATCGACCCGGACGCTTGCACTTTGCGCGAACGATTTGAAGAAGCGATGGTTAAACCAAAAGACACAACAAATTGACACGGCGCGCGACCTGCGCGTTCTTTCCGCGGTTCATAATCAACCGAACAAATCGTTTTAAATAACACATCACTTCTCGCGGCGAACGTTCTCGGACTGTTTGTTTCTCTCTTTCTGTTCGATCGTGTGATCGTCGTCTCTCCCCTCCCCCTATATCTCTTTTGCACAATGCGCGGATTCACACGAATGTATATAAAGAAAACACACACGCACGCACGCGCATAAACAATTTTGAACGCGCGTAAAGTTTTGAATAATTCCAAGTTTGTTTTTTTTTTTTTGAAGAAACAAATTTTGAAGAAAACTTCGTTCAACAAAGTAAACATCCATAAATAATATAACGCGCCTGGTTTAATATCGCGGATAAAATCTCGATGATATCACAATTGGGATTCGGAGAGCTCGGAGAGATTTTCTCGGACTTACACGAGAGAGGTCCGAACGCGCGCAAAACGGACCTTGTTTTTTTAATAGCTCCGCAAAGCTTTGGAAAAAAAAAAACAAACAAGAAAAACTGAATTCTCGTAATTTTCGCGAGTGTAAAACTAGATTCGCCGATATACATATATATATATTCGAATTTCAATTTCCCGTCATTATTTTTCACGCTCGTTAAAATCGTATTCGGTTACTGTGACTGTGAAAAAAAAACCGGCCGCGAGAGCCGGGAGAGACGAGAGAGCTTCGGATGTCGCGCGCACATTCTCGTTTGCCGCGTATACGTGTACTAAGTGTAAAAAAACCATATATATATACATATATATATATACGATTGATATTCATATAATCTTCACGGATAGATAATTAGCTTAAAAATAACATGTTATTTTCGAATATAAACGATCGGAGATTGTTATCTGGAAAATGTGTTTGCGTGTGTCTCGTGGATTATCGCGAGTCATAGATTATAATAATAATTACAAAAAACAATTAGTTTTTCGTGTCGCCCACGACGCGACGAAATCGATTTGCGTAGACCTCTGAAACGTCTGTCCGTCCGTCGCGCGCGGGATTTAATCGTTAACCTTTGACGAGCCGGTAATGAGCCCCGCAAGGAGAAACATATTATATACCCTGACCGCGAGCTACGGATAATCCGCGAGACTCTCTTCGCGTTCACATTTTCTCGTTTCATAACGTTTCTCTCTCTCTCTCTCTCTCTCTCTCTCTCTCTCTCTCTCTCTCTCTCTCTCTCTCTCTGTTTACGATCGTTGGGATGTAGAACGTGCAGCAACGAACTAATTGCTCGAAATGTAATTCAAACCTTAATTCAAACCCCCCTCCCCTCCCTACGCGGTTTGAGAAACTCGCGCAACTTGCGAAAGATGAGAGAAAAATTATACGATCGTTGTTGCATTGTTCTCACGCGCATTTTCACACACACACACAATTTGTATCATATGTTACAGAAAAATTCTCCTCCTTAAAAACGAGAGCTGTCGATCGGGGTGTTGCGAAACATTGTTAATTAAATGGTAATTTGATTTGCGGATGAATTTTTTTTGCGGCGTCTTTCGCCTCTGAGTCACTCGCAAAAATTTGGAAACATCGTCGCGCGTGTGCGCGCGCGTCGGAAGGAAAAGCGTAATTCGAAGTATTGAGAAAAATTGTAATTTGTGTTTTTTGGTTTTTAATTTTATCATAGAGAAAACAATGGGAACGCGCGATTATCTGCCAATTGTTGTAACGCGCTGAGACTCGTTTTAACAAACTAAAACGTAAACAAATCAAATTGTGATGCAATTTAAATTCTAAATTTCTGGATTTGTTTTGCTACAGACACGCAAACACACACACTCGCGCGCGCGCGCGCGCGCACACACACCGCGACGAGAGAAAATTGATAAGAGAAATCATTATTTACGAACGCTCTAATAAATTGCTGTGTTAAATATTAATTTACATTACCATTTAATATGTCGTTTAATACACACCGTTTTACATATCAATTTACATCAAATTAATTGCTCGTCGACTCGCGTTCCACGTATATATATATATATTCACTAGAAATATACACACATAATAGATAATTGAATGCGCACTCACCGCGATGCGAAGACGAGCGTGAGGCCGCCGCTGCGGGTGGCGGAAATGTTCCTGGCGGAAATCGGCATCGTCGTCGTTTTTTTTTTTTTTTTGTTTGTTCTTCGAAAACAAAATACGCACACGCGACAATTCCTTAAGAATCAATCGCCGTGCACGGTACAAACACACGGCGGCGTGTTCATCCGCCTCGCGAACGTATTTCGCAAGAACGGTCTTCGCACACGTGTGCGAGAACGCGCGCGCAGGCGGCAGATCCAAACTGAGGAGATGGTAAATCGCGAACGAAAGTAAAACTCGGGACTCGCGAGGGGTATCTCTATTCCGTCTCTATTCCCAGGAGAGTGGGGCCCCAACGGGGCGCGCGCGATGTATCAATGGTGTAAACCGCATATGCACAACCGCGCGCGCGTGTGATCCGAGAGCGTGTGCAATTGTGAACACGCCGCGCGCGCGATACCTGTGGTAAAAGTGCATCGATGCGGCCGCGCGCCGATCGTTATTAGGTATATGAACGGGACCAAGGTTCGCCTTTCCTACGGCTCCACGTTATTGGGAATCGCGGTTGAAGGTACGCGCGCGTTTCAAGGCCCCGCAGCAGCCGCGCGCGCGCGCGCTCGCGGCACCTTCGCGTCCGCACGCAACGAGGTACGCGTTGGTCTGTGCGCGTGTTTCTTTTTTTTTTTTTGCATAATGTCACAACGGTGAGAGCATCTCGCGGCCGCCATTGCGCTATGCTAATCGACGACGGGCTTGACTCGCGACGCATCGGGATTTATCCTCCGAACGAATCCCAATCGCGATTTCCTTTCGGAATGTGCAGTCGCTGCACACGCACATCTTCTCTCCGTTCGTTCGTTTTTTTTTTTTTTTTTTTCCCCGTGCGGACGACCAGCGGGACGATCGTCGATAAATAAGTCGTGAGAGTTATAGTCGAGCGCGTGGGATGATAGCTGTTGTCGCATAAAAAAAAAAAAATGTCTCTTTTAATATTTATGAAGAATTAAGAAAAAACTTGTGCGTCATGTTTCGTTGAATATTTTGTGCGTGTTGTCATTGTTGTGTATTTTTGTTGTTAAATAATTTTGCGTATTTTTTATCAAATATTTATCGCATACTGTTGAATATTTTTTGTAATTTGTAAAAAGTTTTTAAATTTGTGGTCGATAAATAAATAAAATTTAAATCAATAAAAATACAACGGAGGAAACAGTTTTAGTTGTGTTTGCAATAGGAAGCGGTAAACGTTTTTTTTTATTTATATTCAAACTCGTCACCGATTACACCGATTTAAATCTTTTTCTTCATGGTCTTAAATAATCCTCAGTGAGAAACGATCTCAGAAATCGTGTGTGTGTGTGTACACGTTTACAAGCTAATTTATGTTATTATTTGCTATATATATATAAGTATCCGTATTTTATACAAAAAATTTACTTTTAGGATCGCACATCGTCGGTATTGTCGAGAACAGCGCCGCTATAGGCCAGATCCCAATAATGTTCGACCTGATGCTTTTTGAAATGTTCCCGAGCCATTTTTTCGATCGGGCACACTTTGAACTTGATCTCCCCGAAGTGTCGCTGCTTCGTCGTTCCCTCCCAAACGAGAACACATCTGTTCTTCACGTCGTTCCCGTCGTTATCCTTAACCGTGTCCTCCTCCCACTTGATGCGATGCATCATCAAACGTTTGTACTTGGCTTGTTGTTTCGCACCACCCTCAACCACAACAACATTGCAGTCCCGGAACAAAATCACGCAACCGGTTAGATAGAGCTGTTTCGCGTTGGTCTCCACTTTGAATTTCTTCGAAGCGTTGTTGGCGAGATCGCGTATTCTGAAACAAAAAGAGATTTGGTTTTTTCTTTTTGTTTTGCCATGTAAAATATTTCCGTGTTTAATAACACGTCACGCGTGTTATTTATTAACCTGTAAACGGCTACGTGCACACCGAGGCTGGTGTCCTCCTTAAGTTTCCTCGCCTTCTTTTCGCGACGTTGATCAGCGGTGAGTCTTCGCGCCGCGTTCGCGTCCTCGTGAGCCTTCAATCTCTTGGCCATCTGTTGTCGAACGTGAGCTTCGATTTTGGTCGGATCCTGCACCGCCTCGGTTCCCAGAACTCGCATGAGATTCGAAATCCGTAACTTCGGCTCGGGCGGCGGTTCCAGACCCAGTCGAATTTTTTCTTGTTCTTCCTTCCATGTTTCTCGTCTGGTTTGTCTTCTTAATTTCTTGCGCTCCTTTTTCGTTAGGTACACAGGCATGAACATCGGCTTCAAAGGATCCGCTGTAAAAAAAAACAATTCGAAATAATAATTGATAAGAGAAATTGATAAAAACATATTAAAGCGATAAAAGAAAAAAAAAAAAAAAACGCGCAAGAAAAAGACACTTACTTGGAGGTCGCATTTGCATCGGATGTTCCACTAGATTTGTGATAGTAGAACTTTTGATTGTCGTGGGCTCGTTTTCAACATCGGGATATCCGCCAGTCAGTATGACAGAATCCCACCACTCTACGTTAGGCACATCTTCGGAGAGAGCTTCCGACTTTGGCGCGATAAGAGCTAATTTGGTTGCCGAGCTAATTCCAGTCTTTCTGGCAATTTGACTAATTTCATTGTGTAATTTCTCTAATTGAGTCTTCATACGTATTCTCTCCGCCAGTTGTTGGAATTTGCCGGGTTCGTGAAATTTCAACGCGCGTTTGCCGCGCATCGCCGGCTTAACGCCGATTCTGCCGTCGAAGAAGTGAGTATCTTGAATTTCTTCCGGTCCTTTCGACTCCTGAAGCTGGGCGCGGAACTCTTCCCTCTTCTTGGCGCGTATATTGGCTTTTAATGTAGGCACTACTTGAGTAAGTTGCACTTCCTTGCCCGTTATGTCTACCGTTCTACCGGATTCGTCCAGAATTAAGGGAGTCGGTTTGTCCGGTACACTGACGTTGCTAAGTATTCCTGAGTTTAACTTATTTCTGATCTGCGCCTGCAAGGCAGCTAATTTTCGAGCCTTGTCCGAATCGGTTTTACTCAGCAGACCTTGATTGTACATGCTTCCGACCGCTGATATTGTTTCCCGTCCTTTGAACAACGGCTTTGCAGCGGCATCTTCCTGCTTTATCGCCTTCAAAGCTCTTTTTCTTTCCTCTATTTCTCTCTGCGCATTAGCCATCATTTGCCTTATCTAAAACATGCGTAAAACTATACATTAAATGAACTACTGCGTCTTTAATTAGATTTTAATTAGTTACACACGGCGCATTGATCTTATGCATTTGCAAGGATTTATTTGTTTATAAGTGAAATCGTAACATGTACAAAAACCTCTACCTTGTCAGCAGAAAGTTGAGTTTCGGGTGGCTTATCATTTTTTGTCTCATCATCTTTAAATCTCGACTTCTTTGTATCTTTATCCTTGTCCTTGTCTTCCGAATGAGGCTTCTTTTTGCTTTTTTGAGCCACTTTAGTATCATCGTATATTGTGAATATTTTCTCTGTCAACTTGGAAGCCTTTTTGTCCTCTAACAAGGCTGACAATTTATCTGTACATAATTTAAAAAAAAAAAAACAAACAAATATAGAAAACTCAACTCAAATATAGAAAAATTTAAAAGTTACAAAAAAAATTTTTACATACAATTTAGCAATTCAACACAAGCTTGCTTTGTTCGCTTACCTGCTGTTTTACGTTTGTCGTAGCCAGAAATGAAGCAGTTGACAGCAGTGGTAACAATCGCTGGCTCGCTGAAGCCGAGGAATTTGTAGACCGCTTTTTCGATCTGCGGCTTCATCTCGTCTATTTCTTTTCTCGTTAAATACGACATTTTTTCTACAACTTTTTATTTCTTCTTCTCGACTCGCGTACAACAATATATGATAGTTTTTTTTTTTTTCTTATAAAATTAATATTTCCACAACATAACCTCTATAATAGGGTTAAGATTTAAGGTTAAGTATCACTTTGTTAAGCGTATGCGCTAAATCCGTTACAAACCGTATGTAACACCGTGCGTGCGATCGATGTGTAAAATATTTGTTATATATTTTATTTGTGTGTAAAAAAAAAACGCGTGAGACATTTGCGTTGGCAAAGTTTAATCACAATCCCCCACGGGAGACATCACATTGACGCTGTGTCCGCGACTCCGTTTGGCGTCCGAAGATATGTACTCGGATGTACTCGGGAATTTTCGTCGGACCTTATCGGGCGCGTTCCGAAATCCACTCCCTGGTCCTAGAAATCTATCACGCGTGTCACGTGAACTGTAGATCTCGGTGAATTTCGGAACGCAGCTTATGTTGGCAGCGTTACTCCAATGTGACCAACGTGGAGCTCGAAAACTTCCCTAGCCAAAATACCCCGAGTTTTCTCTTTAACTGGAGGGGTAGAAACGGACCGGAGGAGGGGGAAGGGGTTGTAAAACGAAATTCGCGCAGTTGCTAAAACCACTTGAGAATCTAATAATTAAACACCGGAAGCTTTTGTTTAAGACGAATAATTTATTTCGCCAAAGTGGAACGTGTCGCGAGGAGATTAAGATTCGACAATTTGTTTCTTTTTTTTGTGTTTCACGCACACGTGTGTGCCGAATTCTAACAACACACACGCTTGTGCGTCAGATAAACGTAAAAGTAATAATAACGAAATAATAACAATGGATTAATTATCATTAATTGTCGTATCAATTATTTGGAATTGTTGCATCAAATATTTGTCGAGAATTATTATTAGATTGTTTTTGTTAATTGAAAATATATATGTGTATATAATATGACGATCTCTATCAATTAAAGAGGCGGGGCGCGTATATATATATACACGTCATTGTATATAAATTAGTGCGCGGTTTATATATATATAGACGAAACAAATTGAATTACAGATTTTGTCAATATAAAATTTATGAATATGCGCCGAGTTTTTTTTATATAATTATATTTAATTACGTGAATTGCTTCTTGACACACATGGCACTCTCTCTCTCTCCCTCTCTGTCTCTCTCTCTCTCTTTCTCTCTCTCTATCTTTATCTCTATCTCTCCGTCTATTTCGTTAATGATACGATACTGGCAATTTCAGCTTTATCGCGAGGAAAGACCCCCCGAGGGAGACTTTAAGTAGCTCCTTGTAATTGGCACACATTGACTCTTGACTGAATTTTCAAGTTTGAACAACTATAGTACAGCGCTCTTGTACGCTTCGCCTTAATGAAAAGGATATTTTCCTCGTCACAATGCGAACATTTTCGAAGCGATAAATCGACAAGACGACAATTTAAACCTCCACCCTCCTGTATTTTGGCGAGAAAAGGTAACTTGAATTCTACAAAACGCCACACCGTCTTGCGTGCACGTACTTTTGACGTTCTTTTCGCTCACTTAACGAGTGTCAATTTAACAGCCCGGGGGGGTCTGGATCAGAGGATTGCGTGTGTGAGAATCGAATTCCGACTCCACTTTCAATAGTTCCGGGCGTGTGTGTGTGTCTACCGGGAGGAGAGCAATCCGGAACGAACAATCAATCACTATGCATCTTACGGGGGGCCGGTTGTTGTAGAGAGAAGAGATCCTACAACACGTGACGTTGGCCCGAAAACGAAATATACGAAGGTAACGCAAAGGACGAAAGCGGTCGCCGCTGCGCTCTCGGGATCGTGGAAATGGCAGTGGACCGACAACCGCAAATGAGAACGGCAGAACGGGAGAACTACGCTGTTCCACGCTGTTCTCCGGTGACCGATGAGGCCAATTCTGCGAACCACATTTGCTCCATTCCGAGGCTCTCTGTTGCTCTAAACTTTTCTTGTTGATTGAAATGAAGGAATTGGAATTCCGCGCGCGTTTCCTTTGTTCTTCGGCTTAGGCATCAATTAGGATCTAATTGGCGCGCGGGTGTCGGTTTGGAAGATAGAATCGGACTCGTCGAACATCGCTGTTTATTTCTCACAAAACCACCTACCCCTCCCCCGTTTTCGCGCGTTTCGGATTGTGTTCGATGACGATTTCGCGCTACTAACAATGAGACAAACACACACACACACAAACGATTAATATACCGATGTAACGCGCGGGGAGGTGTGTATAAACGCGGTTTTGATAAATGAATATTCTGAAAATAAATGTTTTTTATATTCATCGATAAAACATCATGAAAGCGCTTTATTCTTCATCTCGTTCCGCGCGCGGGTATTACACATTAATCATGGCGTTGTTTACAGATTTTGTATGAAGTAGTTTATAATTGCCCGAGTTTAAAAACTGTATATATATATATATATATACGTTGAAAAACTCATATAAATCTAAAAACGTGCGTCGCCCGCGCGCGTGAGTCTCCCTCTTCTTCCCTCTCGCGCGTGTTCGAAAATAGACAGTTTTTTAATTAAAAACAAGAAAATGAGACCCCCGGCCATTAGCAAACTTTTTTTTTTTTTTTAATTACAAAAGTTGTTATATAATATATGCGTAACTTTGTAAATAATAAATATATACGTAATATTTTTGCGACAAAACGTTTTTTAACGTCCGCCAGCAACATATATGGCTTTGTTATTCGACAGACGCTCTCCTTGTTTGAAATATAAAATTGCGAATAAAGAACAACGTATTGCCGACGATTCGTTTGCTGCAAGTGAACGGTAATATAATTAAAAAAAAAAAAAAAAAGAGAGAGAGAGACTTGATTATGATAAACCGAACCGTCGATTTTGCGCAAAAATGTTTTATTTATGAGATTGAAATTATTTTTTGAAAAAAAATTCTCCCCCCCGTAAAGGAAGAGATTTTCTCGACGCGCGAATAGACGTTTTTGTGTTTTGTTTGCGCGCGTGTGTCTCTCCACGGTCACTCAAGTTTAAACTTTCCAGTTATGGACATTCTCACGCGCGGAGATACACACTCTCCCGCGCTTGATTTGTATTCGCTAGTAAAAGTTGCGCGCCATAGCTATCTGTTAGGCAAATTACTACAAAGTAACTGGAACTGACTGTTGATACAGAACAGGTTATCTAGCATGAGCGTGTAACGTAGTTCAGTTTCCTGAATTCAGTTTGCAAAATCAAACTTCATTCCCGGGCATAAAATTCAGTTCCAAGGTAAATTCGAGTGTTTCCAACTTTTCCGGTGACTTTAGACACGCGCGCGCACAAGATACAAGTCTCTGTATGTTCATTAATTACCTTTTTAACTGGCTGAAAGAGTTATGAGTCGTAAAACAAAAAGAAAAAAAAAGAAAAAGCATTTTCCGATTTATTTGAGACAAATTTTTTATTTTTATGGACGACGCTTCGAAGAAACGTAAAGCGTTTTATGCAAATACCGTGTGCGAAAACTCGATTGGGGCGCGTCCGCATAAACCGTAACTCGACTCTCTCTCTCGTGCTCCCGATAACCGATAGCCGTAACTTTTGAATCTTCTTTAACGTCGCAAAAATCGTCGGAACTCGAGACATTACAAGTATATCTTTCGTTCCCTCTCAAAAAAACACAGAGCGGAGCGAACGACGAGACCTGGCCTATCTACCTTTCGGTAAGAGAGAGAGAGACAGAGAAAGAGAGAGACGGAGAACAGTCCAATATCTCTTCTTTTTTTTTTTTTTTTTTTTACGATCGCGTTCCGCCACGACTGTAATCCATATCTATTTCCGGAAAACCATAAAATTGCGACGTTCTCTCCCCCT